GCTCGGACTTGGTTCCTTACAAACCAAACCATCTCTAGTTGAGTACGGTGGAAACTAATTTCTTCATATTATTAATGTAATAAAGACAGAAAATTTTCCAGTTCAATGAGTGTGACCGAAAAGTTGTAAATTTTGGAAATTTTTGAGGACACTTGGTTATAAAACAAATTAATTAGAAAACAAATGACTATTAAGTTTAACATATTTAGATTTTTACAGCTATGGTGAGAAACATTTAAAATTTACAACAGCGCTGTCGTGTCCTTTGAGATATACTAGTGATGCAACAAAAGAGGTATTTGACATTGACCGATATCGGCCCTGGGATACCCTGGGGATTTGGCAGTCCGCGCGTATGTGCACTCTGCAACCGTCTTCGATTCCATCCATTAGCCACTCGTAGGGAGCTATTTGACTAAGTGCATTGTTTTAAGATTTAAAAAGTAAAGAATATTTTATATTTTTATGTACGTTTCTTTACAAAGCTATATTTAATTATAATTTTCTTTAAAAGTATATTCATACAATTGAAGAATATTTTGTACCAGGTATGTACCGGTACATCCACCACACATTTTATTTCACCAAGTAAGTTTTTATTATTTTATTTTTAATTGTAGCCCTTATATCGTGGCTAGCGATTCGGAATGTAATTGTGATATTAAAAATGCATTTAGAAAAGTCTATGGTTTTTACTGGCTTATCGAATAAACGATACGAATGGACCCTAGACCATCACTGATGCGCAATTGACTGATTGTTCCTTGATGTCGGCTTCTTACAGAAACACAGCTTCCCTATCATCAAATGTCACGGCATGCCACTGCTAACTGAGCATTCATGTCATCCATAAGCAGCTTCATGTTGTGACTAAGAATCCCATTTAGTACAATCTGCAGCTGGTCATAGAATGCATCTTTATCTATCTCATCAGCATTTTCAATGGATGCATATGCCTAGATTACAGTAGTTTTACATGTCATGATTGGAATTGAGTTGTTATAATCCCACCATTGACAGGTTTCCAGTCAGTACTCAAGTTGCCTCTTTTGACAGGACGACCCCACTCCTCTTATGTGATTTTCATATGGCCAGAATGCAAGATGGTTTTGCTGGAACACAACTAGACTAAATTTTTGTAAAAAATTTAGTTTAGTTGTGTTCCAGCAAAACCACATAAACTGGAATACAACTAGACTAAATTTTTGTAAAAAATTTAGTCTAGTTGTATTCCAGTCATTCCCTGATATGATAAGCCCTTAAATGTATTATAGCCATATTCATCAATCTATTTAATTTATACTTAATGGTTTTGCCACTTCCTGTTCATCTTACTTTAATAATTTTGAGGTTTTCCATGTGGTATTTATCAAATTCTGGGAGCAACTGTGCTATCCCTGCCACACTGGTACATGGGGGGTCCTTTGTCTGTACATTCCATGTTTCAATTTTAGTTATGCTATTGGCATTTAGTATTGAATTCTGCATTGAGCACAGGACGGGCACAAATCCTCATCGNGCACCGAAATAAATTTAAAGACAAGTTAGTCAAAAATCAATAAAAGTATTTAATAAAAATTTAGGAATAACTATTTACAATATTTATAACAAACAACAAATTTATTCAATCAAATAAAATCCAAAAGTCAACCCGACAAAATTCAATCTTATTCTAACTTAAAACTATTACCCTTGGAATTCCGACAAAAATCAATCCTTAACTTAAGGTACAGAATTTCTTACAACTACAAATCCTAACCGTCACCTCAATTATACTAGGAACCTTTTTCTCAACTCAAGACTTTTCCTATTCCTCGATCCACAAATCGAAATACTGCAATCGCCTTGGACTATTTCCTATTGGACACCTCGTTCACTGCTACTAGCAGACCAATGCTTATTCTTTTCAGGAGCTCACCTCTGCCGTCTTCACTTGAGCTACGCTATTTATAGTCTGAGGTGACATCACAGTTTCTAAGTGAGACACTCCCCTCACTTACATACTTATATGTAACATTCACTTTTCTCTTTATCTGGTAGCTTAATTCCCGAAAATACTTTGTTAACCTTTTACAGTCTTTTCGTGAACAATTATCGGGATGTTTCCTTTAAGGTTTAATAAGTCTCCTAAAAGTCTGTGGGGTCTGTCCCCCCTTTCAGTGCGGGCTTACTATCTTCCGCTCGGGCGTGCACGTGAGTGCAATTGCTAGCTATGGCGCTTTCTTTTCGTCATCGGTGAGTTGGTTTTATCTTCTCTTTTTAACTTTCTAAGGTGATGGGTAAGGAAACCTTCGTCCTAACTAAACATAAGCCCCAAACAAAATATAATAAAAGTAAAATAAAAGTAAATAAAAATAATGCTCGGACTTGGTTCCTTACAAACCAAACCATCTCTAGTTGAGTACGGTGGAAACTAATTTCTTCATATTATTAATGTAATAAAGACAGAAAATTTTCCAGTTCAATGAGTGTGACCGAAAAGTTGTAAATTTTGGAAATTTTTGAGGACACTTGGTTATAAAACAAATTAATTAGAAAACAAATGACTATTAAGTTTAACATATTTAGATTTTTACAGCTATGGTGAGAAACATTTAAAATTTACAACAGCGCTGTCGTGTCCTTTGAGATATACTAGTGATGCAACAAAAGAGGTATTTGACATTGACCGATATCGGCCCTGGGATACCCTGGGGATTTGGCAGTCCGCGCGTATGTGCACTCTGCAACCGTCTTCGATTCCATCCATTAGCCACTCGTAGGGAGCTATTTGACTAAGTGTATTGTTTTAAGATTTAAAAAGTAAAGAATATTTTATATTTTCATGTACGTTTCTTTACAAAGCTATATTTAATTATAATTTTGTTTAAAAGTATATTCATACAATTGAAGAATATTTTGTACCAGGTATGTACCGGTACATCCACCACACATTTCACCAAGTAAGTTTTTATTATTTTATTTTTAATGTAGCCCTTATATCGTGGCTAGCAATTCAGAATGTAATTGTGATATTAATTATTGTGATATTAATATTAATAATTGTGATATTAAAAATGCATTTAGAAAAGTCTATGGTTTTTACTGGCTTATCGAATAAACGATACGAATGGACCCTAGACCATCACTGATGCGCAATTGACTGATTGTTCCTTGATGTCGGCTTCTTACAGAAACACAGCTTCCCTATCATCAAATGTCACGGCATGCCACTGCTAACTGAGCATTCATGTCATCCATAAGCAGCTTCATGTTGTGACTAAGAATCCCATTTAGTACAATCTGCAGCTGGTCATAGAATGCATCTTTATCTATCTCATCAGCATTTTCAATGGATGCATATGCCTAGATTACAGTAGTTTTACATGTCATGATTGGAATTGAGTTGTTATAATCCCACCATTGACAGGTTTCCAGTCAGTACTCAAGTTGCCTCTTTTGACAGGACGACCCCACTCCTCTTATGTGATTTTCATATGGCCAGAATGCAAGATGGTTTTGCTGGAACACAACTAGACTAAATTTTTGTAAAAAATTTAGTTTAGTTGTGTTCCAGCAAAACCACATAAACTGGAATACAACTAGACTAAATTTTTGTAAAAAATTTAGTCTAGTTGTATTCCAGTCATTCCCTGATATGATAAGCCCTTAAATGTATTATAGCCATATTCATCAATCTATTTAATTTATACTTAATGGTTTTGCCACTTCCTGTTCATCTTACTTTAATAATTTTGAGGTTTTCCATGTGATATTTATCAAATTCTGGGAGCAACTGTGCTATCCCTGCCACACTGGTACATGGGGGGTCCTTTGTCTGTACATTCCATGTTTCAATTTTAGTTATGCTATTGGCATTTAGTATTGAATTCTGCATTGAGCACAGGACGGGCACAAATCCTCATCGTTTTGTTTCTACACTGTCATAGAGGATGAACCAATTGTATCACGCTGAGAGTTTTGGTTTTGCTGAAATCTGCTTATTGTTTCTTTAGCAGTGACAGTTTTTATGGAATGGAGTTCCTGATCCTATGCCCCCTCCTCCTTTTTCATCTGGGCTTGAGACTGACAATGGTGGAGTAAAATATTGAATGCTTACAAATTGAATGTTTCCAAACAAATGGATAGATACATAAGTTATATTGCAACATCTGACATATTTCTCATTTGGTTTGTCTCTTGACATGCATGATAAAACAAGGGCCTGCTGTATTTTATCAAGGAATTTTATATGTTCTTTTTTATATATAACAATTTATAATTTATATTAAACAATTTATATTAAATAAAATTCTTTATGATATGATGTACTATAATTGTTTAATATAATATATTTGCATACCACAAATATATAATTTAATATTTAAAGTTGTATTTTAAAATAATTTCTTAGCAGTCTAATGAATGCATGTTAGAAAAATCTGTTAGATTTTTCTAATATGCATTCCCTTAAAATTTTTCAACCAAAATTTAGCATTAAATGATAGTAAACATTAATGTTGTTACAACAAACTAAGATAAATAAATATTCTGTCTGTCTTTATTTTTATGAATATTGAATTGCAAATGTGAAATCAAAGCATAAACTTATGCTTTCTTTTAAAAATTATCATCATTTTATGTTTTCAATGGACACTTTTGCTGTCTTCCAAACAAATACAAAAACATTTTAAATAAACTTTATGAATCTTTTTTGTGACTTTGTAAGTCATCCTTAAAATTCAAAATTTACAATTATATAAATAAATCTTATTATATTATTGTACAATTATATAAATTTGTAATTACTGTTGTGTTTATTAATTTAACTGGTAGATTTATAAGTTAGTTTCCCAAAGATTGATAGTTCATGTAATCATCCAGCCATTATAATTTTTCATCTCAGATAATTTTGATTCAAAATCACATTAATCTCTTACAAAACATTTTAAATAAGTTTTATTTAAATGAACTACAATATTGTTAATGTGTATTTTATATTTATTTTACTCAAAATATAGAATTACTTTAGTGGACCATTGTTAAGAAAATTTAAAAACAGTAGTGGATGGCAAAGATTATGGGTTGTATTTGCTCAATTTTCACTGTTTTTCTACAAATCTTATCAAGTAAGTATTATTATTAAAACTATATTTAAAATATTTTTTAAAAGTATTATTTATAATGGTAAAGACAATAGATATGAAGATCTTACAAATATGCTTTATCATCAGAAAAGACAAAATTAAATTGAATTAATTAAATTAAATGTTTTTGAGCTCAAATACTCAGCTCTAGGATTTTAATACATTTGAATAAAACATAAACTAAACATTCTTATAGAAAAATAATGTTCTATATTTAAATTTTTTGAATCATTTTAAGAAAAACTATAATATATGAGTAATATAAAAATAAAGCTGAATTAATTAATGAATCTTTTAAAAATGGGTGAAATTAAAAAAACACTAATATATGTGACCTGGTTAATAGTCCATTCTTAGGCATGGACAGTCAGAAGTGGAATAATTGGATTGAAAACATTATTATTCTTTCAACTTTGTCAGCTCGACAAAAAGGGGGATGACTTTAATCCAGTATCAGAGATGGCTAAGGATGTTTGCTTATGTGGGTGGTGTGACAGAGACAGTGATCACGACAAGTGTCTTCACAGAGAAATCATTTATTTTTATGAAAAGTTCTTACATGGTCCATTAATTACAGTCCTTCAGTAACAGTCCCTTTCAACATAGGAGAGCAATGTGGCTTCAGTCTTCTAGATGTTTCATTGACGGGTTATACATAGCCCTGGGGCAAACGAGACAATTCTTAGATCAGGAACTTGGACTGGTAGGCAATATAGTTGTGGCATTCCCACATAGAGGACAGCACAAAGTGAGAACAGTTGAAAGGATTGATGTCACACAGATTTATGGGCTATCCAAGAGAGAGAAAAACTGTCTTTTTTTAATGCATTGACACATGGTGTGTGATGACTGACTGAGAGTCTTGACTAACTGAGTGTGATATGTCCTTGAATGTCGGGGATTATATCAATCTCCATTCTTTTGATCAGCCATTTTGATTGGTTGATCTCTCTCATCCATGCTTTCCAAGTGGCTGGTCCCTTGTTACTAAGCATAACGGGACTCCAACCCAAAGTATGAGAGAGGTCAACTCGAAGCTGAATCTGATCTCCCAACCAGAGATAGTTAGTTGATCATAGGATGACATTTCTTCTAAGATTTATGACTGTGTCACATTTTAACATAAACAAAAGGGTGTCTGACTACATACATTTTTTTGTCTTTCTAAACAAATAAATTTTTTCTCTAATTAATTAAATTCTCATCACAAATTTGGAAAGTTCATTTAGGAACAATTTAATAAATTTATAGCTTTGTAACAAATTACAGGATTTGTTGATAAATAATAAATAAAAACAATGTTTTACTTTTTCAGCTTGTTATGTATATAACACAGAAAAAATATGGAATTGTGTCAAATTTTATTCTCCTGAGTTTTTTGCAAATCTCTGTGTTTTGAGACCTGAATTCAAAAAGGTCAAAAAAAAAAAATCCATGTGTGTTGGCATCTGTTTTGTTTAATATCTCAGGATGGGATAATGATTAAGAAATGAAATTTAGCATGGTAACTTGTGTATAAAGGGCATTAATACTATAGTTTTGCATTTGGTAGCTATGATAGCATTTGGTAGTTTTTAGATCAAGGAGTGGGAAGATAGAAAGGGATCATGTGTCATAACTCAGTTGAGTCAGACTTCATGAAGATTTTACTCATTATTAGCATTTATAATTTTTTATAAAACTTGTCTCTACCCTCAAAATTAAACTATTTGCAGTTTTGTAGTTATTAATAGTTGTTTTTTAACAAATTCTCTTAACAGATGGCATTGCACTCAAACTAATTTTAAATTTATTCTATTACATCATTGTGTTTTCACCAGGAAAGTTATGCATTTCATTTCTGGATTTTTTTATTAAATGAAATGTCTTGTTTTAAGTTTCAATAATTTGCGACATTGAAAACTTTTTCTAAATAATAATTTTAACCAATTAAAAATTTTAATTAGCAAAATTTAAGAAGATAACACATTAGAAAGAATGGTAAATATACAGGTGATTTTTCTCTCAATTATTTTTAAGAGAGACATGCTATATATCTTCTAATAGATACCTCCCACATTTAATTACTGAATTGGCTGACTGACCCAGCACTTATTAGCCTATGGTTATGTTCTGCAAAAAATAAAGAAACTGAGTAAAAGAACATATCAAAATATAGATATAGCAAAGGATAATTAATAACCTGTTTCACTAATTCTGATCAACTGACTTGGATACACTGTACTGGAAAATGAAATCAGAAATTTGAGATTCAGCTTTGGTTATGCCAGAGACTGGACTCTAACAAGTCATCACTGTGTTTATGCAAATGCAAGAATAGGGTAAAACATGTGAAAACAAACTTTCTGTACCAGAATTTGCAATCACAACACTGTTTATGCAGAAGCAAGAAATGTGCACAAATATCTAGACCTGTTCAAGCATTAATTCTAAGCATTAATTCTAAGCATTAATTCAAGCATTATACTGCTGCGGTAAACAGCACCAATATCCAGAAGCTCATTTGTGGTGTTTTCTGGTTATAATTACAAACCGTGATTGCTTTATTCGTAATTATTATTAGTTAATAATGAAAATAAGTTATTGTCCTTTAAACAAAAGAAAATATTCTCAAACTAAATTATAACATCAAATGAAACAAAACCCATCAACATAAAATAACATTTGGACTCAACTGCTTAAAAATATTGTATATCCATCTTGGCCAAATAATTTTATTTCAGTCACTGTTTAGTCACTTTTTCCTTGCTTGGAGTTACTATTCTCATGTATTTTGAAGTAATTTTCTGTTTCGAGACCTGTATTTGTATAGTTTGGAATACTAAACCTAACATAGATGAACTCCTCCAGTATATGAATACAATCCATATGGGATCATCTCTTCTACAATTAGATCAAACGAACAACACCAGTGTCCACTTTTTAGATAATTCAATTTATTTTGATGATATGAAACCATGCTTTGCAATTTGTTTATGCTTCTAACACAATAAAGTGCTATAAATTAAGACACTTGGCGGGTTTTCTCATCTTTATTTAGTTGATACGTGTGAAAAAATTACACGTTTCGGGCTCTTAAGCCCCTCTTCAGCCAACTATGCATATAAGTCTTATAGATTGAAGTAACAGCTTACTCTCGATATTTTTTCAGTAACATCAGCTTATTCATAATATATTTTTTTTTCAACCAACTATAATATTAGGGGAGTATACGACATATATATACAAAACTATACATAAGAATCTATAAAACTATCTTCAATTAAGGCATACCTTGAGTATTAAAGTTGTACACAATTGATTATACCTTCCACTTATAAAACAGTTCTACAAAATCCTTGATCTAAAACATACTTTGGACAACAATTATCAAATTAGTATACAATTGATCATGCTTTCCACTCATAAATCTGTTTTACGAAAGTATAGAAAGTATAGAAATAATCAAAAATCAAAATAGTATAAATAAAAATCNGTAACATGTGTTCACTTTCAGCACAGAAATAATAGACATGTCTTTTGTACTCAAGTTTGAAACAATATGGTCTGTTAATATCATCATTTTCAGTTGGAATACTGATATTATAATGAAGCACTGGTAAATTGGCAAGTGGGAAATCGTCCTATAAAATAAATATTTCAATCAATTTTATATGCTAATGTTTTTAAATTAAAAATATTGATCAATACACTAAATACTGTGCATCTTTTTTAAATATTTTAATTTTTTGTATATATAATATTACAAATTATATTAAATATAACCAAAATATTTATATTGGTTAAAAATGTAAGATAAAATTGGCATAAATATTAAATTTGATAAATATATTTATCTTTATTTATTTATATAATATTTTAAAACAAAATAAGCCTGATAATTTCTCCACTTCAGTCTCAGATACACAATTTTTCTAAATGTTCCACTCTTCCACAAACTGGGCAAGCAAATAAAATAATGAACATACTAACCTAACAAAAACAGAGGTTTAGTGTGTTTTCTAATTTATTATACATTACTTTTCTATCATATCATAAATATACTCTTTACAGAGATATCATTTGACCTTCTATTATTGAATGATAATATGAGTTTGTGTCATACATTGCTGAAAATGTACAAAAGGTCAGTTTGTCATCAATTATACAGTAGTTCCTGCTTTAAGGAATAAAATATAAATTGAATTTTTTTATGCTTCTAACACAATAAAGTGCTATAAATTAAGACACTTGGCGGGTTTTCTCATCTTTATTTAGTTGATACGTGTGCGTATCAACTAAATAAAGATGAGAAAACCCGCCAAGTGTCTTAATTTATAGCACTTTATTGTGTTAGAAGCATAAAAAAATTCAATTTATATTTTATTCCTTAAAGCAGGAACTACTGTATAATTGATGACAAACTGACCTTTTGTACATTTTCAGCAATGTATGACACAAACTCATATTATCATTCAATAATAGAAGGTCAAATGATATCTCTGTAAAGAGTATATTTATGATATGATAGAAAAGTAATGTATAATAAATTAGAAAACACACTAAACCTCTGTTTTTGTTAGGTTAGTATGTTCATTATTTTATTTGCTTGCCCAGTTTGTGGAAGAGTGGCTAATAGATACCTCCCACATTTAATTACTGAATTGGCTGANGAAAATTAATTTTTAATTTTATGTATTTATTTTAAAACAGAGTAATTAAGAAAGATATAATAGCTATTAATTTTGTCATTTGACAAAACATTGATACAAAATCTATAAATCCAAATTCAATTGAAGTTTAAAATTAATATGTAATAAAAATCAAAATTCAGTTTGATTCCTTATTAGCTGAAATATAAACAAATCTTATAAATAACTTTCTTCATACTTTTAAATTGTTGGCGTGCATTATGCAAATTTATTTTTTTGATATCTAATCTAATCACATTTTCTACTTGCAGTAATTTTTAGAATTAGATTTTCTCAAAAGAATATTTCATATACAGGGTTTTTATGAAAGTCTGTACACTCTTATAACCACTTGCTGTAGTGCCACAGAAGTAATTTGCACCAATAAGTAAGTGACTATGTATAGTCCATTGAATATGATTTTAGTGTTCC